TACACATAGGACAACATCCTGCCAGTACATCTTTAATCTCTACTTCAGCCTGCCCAAATGTGGGCTCTCTTCTCACTTACTTCTATCTGCTTTTTGTACACATTAAAAACATGCAAGTGCTGATCCAAAACACTCACAGTTCACACCAACCCCAAACAGAATAGCTTGGAAATGACTCAGCCAATCTGCAATTTAGGATTAGCCTTGCTTCTGGTTCTTATCTGCTTACACACCAATGATGCAAACAAACTCTGTGTGGATTTAAAAATAGGAAAAAGCATGCCTTACCATCCATATCAAAAATTAATTTGTAACAGCAGGAAAAATACAAACTACCAGTACTCAAGTTTACAGGCTGATGATCCATAAACATCTCATTGTGCCACCTCATTTTCCAATTAATTGCTAAGATAAAACTGCAATGCAAATGTACTGCAAAGACACTCCGGCAGGGGTATCAACTGTCAACAGAAGACCACTTATGAATGAGGAAACTTGGAGGATAAATACAAAAAAGTCTTCGTATTTTGCTATTCAACTTGATTAAATTAAAGCCAACTAATTTTTACATAAAAAAGGAATTGAACTACTATGTCATTTTATAATGTAGCTGCTACATCAAATTTGTAAGTAAATTGTTAAATTTTAAGAAATATTTGTCTAACCCACAAAATTTACCAAATCTAGGTAATAATAAACCATAATATAACATCATCCTTATTTAGAGATATCACTATTTGAAAAGTTGCACCTAAAAACTTTTAAGTCATGCATTAATCAGAGAAAAAATTTCAATATAAGCAAAAAAGGCATTTGACAAAATTCAACATCCTTTCGTGATCAAAACTGTGAACAGATTAAGTATAGAAGGAATGTACCTCCATACAATGAACATCAATATGATAAACACACAACTAACACCATTCTCAGCATGAGAAGTTGAAACCTTTTCCTCCAAGGTGTCCACTCTCAACACTTTTCAATATAGTACTGGAAGTCAATGCCAAAGCAATTAAGAAAGAAAATGAAACCGGAATAGGAAAGGAAGAAGTAAAATTGTTTCTATTTCCTAATAACATGATTTTATGTACAGAAAACACCTAAGGTTCCACCCAAAAATAACTGTTAGACCTGACAAACTAATAGACTTACAAAGTTGTAGGATACAAAACTACCTTACAAAACCAATAGCATTTCTATATACTAATAATGAACTATCCAACAAAGAAATTAAGAAAACATCCCATTTATAACAGCAACCAAAAATTAAATAGACATAGGCTGGGCATGGTGGTGCATGCCTGTAATACCAGCACTCAAGCGACAGAGGCAGGAGAACTGCTGCAAGTTCGAGGCCAGCCTCAGCTACATAATGAACTCAAGGCCAGCCTGAACTACACAGCAAGACCCTGTCTCAAAAAAATTAAATAGTTATAAATTTAACTAAGGTGGTAAAGGACCTATATACTGAAAATTATTTTTAAAAAGCTGATTAAAATTTTTAAGAAAATACAAATAAATGAAAAGACATTCTGTGTTCATAGAATGAAAGGATTAACACTGTGAAAATATCCATACTATGGTATGGTATAAAAAGAGACAGAATCACCAATGGAACAAGACAGAAAATCCAGAAATAACCCCATGGATTTATGGTCAACTATTTTCACAAAAGTGGCAAGAACTAACAATGGCGGACAGGGCATTCTTTCCATAAGTGATGTTGGGAAAACTAAATATCCACACTTAGGACAGTACAACTTGGACACTTATACCAAGTTAAACAAAAAAATCACCATCAAATTATCAAAATCATCAAAAAGACTTAAATATAAAATCCAAAGTTATAAAGCTACTAGAAGAAAACACAAGGGAAAAGTTGCATGACACGGGTATGGGCAATGATTTTATGACTATGACCCCAAAAGTACAGGCAGTAAAAGCAAAAACAGGAAAGTGGTATTACATAAAACAGCAAGGGAAACAGTTGATAAACTGAAAATACACACTCATAAAATTGGAGAACATATCTGCAAACCATACATCTGATGATCTGTTTATTATCATGGGTAATAAGTACTCAATTCAATACCAAAAACTAAGTAGATCAATTTAAAAATGGGCAAAGAACCTGAACAGACACTTCTCAAAAGAAGATATATAAATAGCCTATAATTACATGAAAAATGTGCAGTATCATTAATCACTAGAGAAATGCAAATTAAAACTCCAATGAGATACTACTTCACACCTGTTAGAAAGCTTTCATCAACAAGATGGAATATCAATGTCAGAGAGGATGTAGAGAAAAAGGAGCTTCTTACACATTGTCATTGAGAATGTAAATTAGTACAACCATTACAGAAAACAGTATGGAACTTCTTCAGAAAACTAAACATGGAATTATGGTATGACTCAGTGATCTCACTTTGAGCCACATATCCAGGGGAACTAACATCAGTGGTGAATATCTGCATTCTCATATCTATTGCCACATTTATCACAATAACCAAGATATGAAATCAATCTAGCCAGGACTAGATGAATATATAAATGAAATGTAGTACACATAAAATAGAACACTATTTAGCAACAACAACAAAGGAAATACCATCATTTCCAGCAACATGGATTAAACTGAAGGACATCATGTTAAGTGAAAAAAAGTCAGGCATAAAAGATAAATGTCAGGGCCGGGGATATAGCTTAGTGGCACAAGTGCCTGCCTGGCAAGCACAACTCCCAGTACCAAAAAAAAAAAAAAAAAAAAAAAAAAAATCATATGAGTTGACTTCTAATGCATCCA